TAGAAACACAAATACACGTCAAACTTTTCTGTTTTAAGTTTAACGCGTTCTGCAATCAAGATCCTACAAGTTCCATAAATTACAGAAAAGGTCACTAACCGTATTTATTACAACATACAAACTGTTGTAAACTGTGCTTCAGTTAAAGAAGGTTAAACGTTAGGACTATTTACCGGTCACTGGCATCTGAAAAGAGTTCTACGCAACATAGGCATATTCAATGATAGGTTATACCATTTGTAGGTTATGCAATGTGGAGGAAGAAACATCGTCGAATGTGAAGCAACCGGTCAATGGAGACATTGAAAACCCAGGGAAAGGAATTGTAGCAACGACAGGCGATGACCAAGTACTCCTTAAAAGAAGGATCGAAGACAGGACAGACGACTGACTGAACTAAGGCCGTAGGAAAGTACAATAAGCCAGAAGGCTGTCATTCTTGGGGAATAAAAACCACCAAACCCCTAGTCTCCTTTCATCAACATCATCATCCACATTTGTACGAGAACTTGAAGAAAAGAGAAGCAGGCTCAGCAGCATTTTTGGAAGATGTAGCTAGAATACGTAGACGATTTTTTTAACTCAATATCTTGCTACAGGGACTTTTTAACATATCGATATATCTGGGTTAATTAAAGGCTAATTCGACTGCTGTGTGATTCGATGTCATGTACCGTTCTTTTTTCTACTATGGTAATTTGGAGGAGCGAAAGAGGGCTGGGCTTGATTGCGAGTGGAGGACGGACGAAGCGGTCTAACGAGTACGCTAACTGTTACATCCTCATTAAACTCCCTCTATTTGGACACTTAATGGTATATAAACGAAAATTCGTCATATTTGCCGTTTGCAACTTGACTGCCCTCTGCAACAACGGTTGCGACACGGCTGAACCGAAGTTGGAAAACCAGCCGATGAACCTTTTCCGTTATTGTAATTTCCAAATCCTATTATAAGAAGTTTGTTTAGAAAATTTGTACACATTTCACTTACAAGAGAAAACCTCGGAAGAAAGATGTTTTCATGCAGTCAAAATGGCTCTTGTAAACATCGATAGCACAGAAAATGTTTGGAAATTGTGAAAGATTCGTCCAGCTAAGAAACGCTGCTGCAATTTTTATATAAACAACTGCGGTTTAGATGGAATTTGCGAGCATCAAGCAAGACAATAACAAGATACAACTGAACGAATGGAATTGTCTTTTTTATTACGGTTTGTAATGTCTTAGAGAAAAAAATGATTATCACAGGGAAGTAATAAAAGTTCCCATCCTGACATATAATCATTAAATTGTGGTGTGAATATAATTTATTAGCGTGAATAACAATCACCCCGAGGAAAATCGAGAACTCTGGGGCAGTGGGAATGAAGTCTCATGTATGTAATTTATTAACGTGAATGGTAATTTCTAGGTGAAAATCGAGTACCCTGGGGCAATCTCCAATTACTTTGGAGAATAAACAAGCCGAAAGGCGAGTGTATGTTTTTTTTTAAACATTCAACATTTTAACACCAACCAAGATACAAAAAGGAAAGGGAAGAAGTAGCAGTGCAATTCTAATTCCTTTGGAATTCTGACTTTCCAGGCCAAATATCCAGATTTTAGAACCCAAAATAAAGAACTGCCTCCAGCAATGCTGCTAACATTTTTTCTTCCACTTCGTATTACCAACAGATCGTTGCTCAGAGTAGGTGCAGCAATGAGTTCTCTGAGAGAATCCAGGCCACAATGTGAACCATCTTATACAGTATTAATTCATTACCATTTTAGTGCTCAATTGACCAAGTTACATCTTTCAATTAACTATTCTTTCCATGTAAGGTCTTGGTAGAAATAAAAAAGTCAGTGTCACGAGAGGGATTCGAACCCACGACCTTCGGCTAAATACGCCGCTTCTCTACCACTTGAGCTATCGTGACTTCGATCGTGTAATCGGGTTGGATTCTCTGCGACTTATGAAGTGGCCACGGGGAGCTGTTTAGTGAAGTGATACTTCTTTTACTTATTAAATATTAATTCATTTACGGTTTAGTGGTCAATTGACCAAGTTACATCTTTCAATTAATTATTCTTTCCATGTAAGGTCTTGGTTGAGATAAAAAAGTCAAGTGTCATGAGCGGGATTCGAACCCACGACCTTCGGCTAATTACGCCGCTAATCTACTACTTGAGCTATCGTGACTACGATCTTCTCGGAAGAATAATTAATGAAACTTATACAGTATGTGCAATTTATACTGCTGACTGCTTTTCTTGCCAACCCACAAGGACGATACCGATATTTTCTCTCTTAACTCCAATCCTACCCAAGCCACCTCCACTATACAGGAGCACCTTGAGCTCATTGAAGAATGGTGCAACACGTGCAAGATGGAAGTAAAAATGCACCCAAATTACGTTGAGGTTAACCAAACAGTGTTGCTCACGTCTATACGTTAACAGTAAAGAACTACTGACATCTACTCAGTAAAATACTTAGGATTATACTTAAGAAATGGAGAACTGAACAGAGGAATTGGACAAATACGAAGAACTATAGGACCGAAATGACGTTAAAGAACAACCTCTGTACAAACCATTACTTCGAGCGGAACTGTGAGGTAATCAAGCCAACTAACATCCAACGAACCAAACATACAATAAGATTCAAGCGAGAAGGGCACAAATAAAAAGACGATTTTGACAACTACGAGGATTCGAAGATTTAAAGAACCGAAATCCTGTTGGGTACCATAAGTCATCTAACATCCAACGAACCCCGGCATTCCAATCAAAAGTCCTCCAAACTATTAACTATGCCTCCAACCTCACTATCCACAATAACCATAACATTCCTTTCCTCAAAGGATTGATCAGTTCCCGCTTCAAGTTTCACTACAATCTTTCAACTCATCCTAATCCCCTCCTCCAAGAAGACCTCGCCATAACCCGATAACTAAGTGCCAGCATTGACTGTCTTGACGCTTCTCACAGCACGTGTCATCGGGTGCAGTGCTAGTCGTAGTGTTGGTGTTTTGTCTGGTGTTTTATAGAATTCATGTATTAGATACAAACAAATATTTTTAAAAAATCTCTCCTTGGAAGAGTTACTTTTTTAACTAGACCATTTATTAGATTCACTGGTGATTTTCAGGTCCCATTTTGAAAGAAAATCTGATGCAGTCAATACAGGCATAATCTGAACTGTATACAACTAAATATTCCTCACTTTTGCAATTTTAATCGAAATAAAGAAAAAATATTTCAAACGTGCTTGATGCAACGGTCAGCAGCCCAATAATCAATCGATAATATTTGTGAAGAAAATAAATAAAGATAAAAACGTCATGCTTGAAAGAAGTAGTTGGGGAATCCTTTGTCATTTTCCTCAGAAACAACCACTACACGTCCTATCCTGACTGATCCTGACTGATCTTGACCGATCCTATGAAGTCAGCGTTTCTCCCTTCTTTGAACTTATGCCGAAGAAATTCTTCATTTTATAAAATACCAACGCCGTTGAATCAAACAATAAGGATTGTACATTGATTTTACATATTCTACTCTACCTGACAATAAGCAATGCGCTGTTAACTGATGTTTTGTGTATATTCTCACTGGTTCAATTTCAGATAAAGTTCAGATATGCTGTACAACTGGAAACAAGTGTTTGATAAGACCCAAGATGTTCGGAACTTAAAAGGAAAAAGATGATCAAATTCGGAAACGCATCTAGGTCTAAACGGGTCATAAAATTTTCACTTCATTCGGTGATGAAACAATACGTGAGTGCAATGCTCCAAAAGTGGTTCAAAAACTTTTCATCTGAGAATGATGAAGCTTTGGAACTTTATTTGAGTCGATAATATCAAGAGCTTGCCAATATGTTCAACGTAAGCGATGAAACCATTCGCTCTAGCTTACATCGATTTGGGAAGACATGGAAGCTGAGCAAATAGATTCCGTATAAATTGATCAACGGTAACAAGCTTCAGGCTCTAAAGTCTCTTTCATTGCATTCACAACACAGAATAGAGACTTTTTTGACCGTATTGTCACATGCGATGAAAAAAGGATAAGTAACACTAGGAGGTCGTAGGCATTGTCTGTCACCAAATGTCCAGGTCAGTCTGTTCTCAGTCCTTAGTATCTGACTTGCGTGTAAGCCGGGTAGCTTCTTGCTGATGTATAGTGAAGGGAAAGACTTTTTCCAATGTAATTGCTATATCCAGAAACTCAAAGTGTTTTGGATGTTAGACGTTATTTGGATAGGATTCGGGTTAGAAGAGAAAATTGCGGTATCATCCGACGGTAATGGTATACAGAATGGGCCCGAGAATGGTCCCTTGTGGGACGCCGGCATCTCACCCTGAAACAACGGTCAGTTAAGGGTAAAATATCCTCAAAATATTTTTTACCTTTCTTTTTAGTCTCTCATTTCTACACTACTACATGTTTTATATATATATTCCAAAACATCACAGGCTTTTGTTTAGTGACATTGTGCACTACGAACTCCTGTCACATGGCTAGACCATCACCACAGAAATCTACTCAAGCCAACTGCAACGAGTCTGTTGCCCTGGCCCAGGAACAACCTGCTCTCATAAGCAGAAAAAGGTGCAATTTTTCACAAGGAAAACGAAAGATCTCATACAGTCAGAACGTGATAAGATGACAATGATGCTTAGTTGGGAAGTCCAACCACACCATCCGGACCTGGCCCCATCTGAGTTTCCATCAGAAAATCAGACAAACGGCTTATTTTGAAAAGAATGGCAAAAAAGAAAGAAAATTGTTTAACCTTATTAATTCGCTAAAATGATAAATTACTATAAATATTTTACTGGGCCAGTTCAATGAGTTGATTAATTCTAGCCTATTTTGATTCCAAACTCGACAATTAAGGATTTTTGCAAATAAATTAATAATATCCCATTATTAGCCGCCGGACGATTAACGATCAATGTATTACATCTTCTGAGAGTTGTATTTTTAATAATAGGTTGTATTTATCTTACCTAACGAGCTCTCTGTGTCCGAAAGGTCACTCAGAGACGGCACCTTCTGCATCGGTCCGAAACTTTCATCTATTTGCTCCTGTTTTATGTTCATCTCCTCTAGACAAAACTGGAAAATAACAAAAAGGAGAATTAGTATTTAAACAATGTATTTGGTACACGAAAGGACGTCCAAGTTTTTCTATCCTATTGCTAGAAATATGTAGCTGGGTTTTTTTTAATCAACAACGAAACTTTTGAGTAGTAAAAAGTAGTTCTTTCAAAGCGCACATTAAGCTGATAAACACATGGAACTATATTGTCTTTGTTTATTTCAGCCATAAAAATAATTCAGGCACATTCAAATACGAGGTTCGCCACAGAACTTACTTTGGTAAAATAATCGATCCCAATATCTTACATTTATCAACAAAAAAAATTAAATTTAGAGTGAGTTTCATTCACCGAGACATATTAAAATTGCTCACATCTCGAAATTTAAAAGTTTAGTTTCTTAGGAAACTTCGAAATCGCCAGGTCGTTTAAGACCGAGGTCGATCAAAGCTGTAATATTAAGTTAATTTTTATAGGATCGACTATTTCTGAGTTATGCCCCGAAGACGTGTAAAGAGGTATGCTTTTTGTATCAAGATGGCCTCCCCGTTTATTTCGACAACAATGAGCATTACCAAGTTTACTTAGGATAGAAATCGCCTCAGAATAAGGTAGGGATCATGGGGTTGGTTACTGTTGCGCTTAACTCATATTATTCAGATATCGTGAGATGCGGTCGGGTGTGATGTAGGTTTCAGAAAAACATTTTCTTTATCGTGCCAACGTTTCGATCTTTTATTGAGATCNCAGATCCAACAGTTGCGGGGGCAGTCCTCAGTCTTATCCGTCCATCCAGCGAGGTTGGGCTCCAGATGCTATCGACAGCTAGGTCAATTCAGCACCCAACGCACGCAGTTACAAACTCATTCGTACTCATGTTCATTCTTAAATATATTCACTCCTATTTTCGTGACATTCATTTAATTAGGGTGATGGAGTAATCGATATTCCTCCATTATCACACAGCTATTACACAACTAATGCAATTGAGGGTGGATGGGGAACTCGATATTCCGCCATCGACTCTCTCACTTCACACATTCACGCCAATAAATACATTCACTCTCAACATGAGCTAGGTATACACAACTAATGTTATTACTATATCAATAGAGCAACCCCATTTCCTTCAAGAATCGGAACAGGGGACCCTGATACTCGCTGCCGTATTCAAGCACAATTCGCAAATCGGGTGGCATTCCTGCGCGTTGAATGTATGGAATCAAGGAATTACACCATTCAGTTAGGTGGGACACATCGAGCAAACTTTCTCTACATGCCGTACACATGCGCGGGCTTTGGCCCAAAAGTAAGTGTCCGTGCGTCTAGCGGCTTATCCTTGATCGGTTGATAAGCTAGAGCTTCTCTGCCGATCCACTCCATTGACGCTGCTACCTTCTTTTAAACATGTTTTTATTGCAGTCTTAGCATCAGAGGGCTGGAGGTTAGGACGTCCCGGTCTTAGCCGCCGCGTCAGCCTTTTCATTACTCTCCAGATTTATCCAGACCCAGACAACAACCACCGTTTTGCCAAGACGCTCCAACAAAATCACTACGAGAGGGTCGACGGAACATCTGTCACGGACCTCAGTAATTGCGCTTAGGAAGTTGGTGCAGACTAGGTTAGCAGAGCCACCATCGTCTCGAATCACTTCAAACGCATGCCAAATCGCATACGGTTCTGCCTATAAACGCTACAGTGCGGCGGAAGGGACAACGAAGTGGACGCACCTTCGCGATACACGGCACACCCCACACCTTCTTCAGATTTACACCCGTCTGCAAAGAGGAGCCAAAAACCAGCGTACCTCCATCTAAGTAGCTAGTACTCCAAAACGTAGCTAGGTAAGGAGTAGACGGCTTGGCTAACACGGCGAGATCTTCCCGGACGAGTACGCCTGGGAGGCACAGGGTGGAATCCGTCGGTTGCCCAGCTCGATTACCGTTCCAAGTGTCATACTCGCCCTCCGTAAGACTTCGCAGAAGTCTATCCCTAGAGGTCAATAATAAATTCAAAATAACAATTTATGGCCATGGAAATAGGCGTAAATTAATTTTTGGATTGATAATTTCGACGACCTTCTGCGTGATTGACATTCCAAGTGCAAGCTCTAACATCACTTTCAGAGACCGATTTTCATGGTTGATAATTCGTTTTAAAGAAATTGTGCATTTTATCAACTGTATGAAACATTAAAATCGGACTATTATTTCTATTTTAAAAAAGGTTAATTTCTAACAAAAATATTTTCTTATTTTATGCGTTTTATTATAGAAATCCTTTATATACTTTTATTGTACATACGTCCTTAAAAAACAACGTTTCTCTGTTTTTAAATGGTATGTTTGATGTTAAAATCCTTTTAACTGTTTTTGAAATAAAGCCGTTTCAATAAAATATTCCAAGAACTTCTTAAAAATCGGAGAAATTTTAGGAGTCAAAAAATCGATAAATTTAAATTCAAACAAAAATTGTATGCCCTAGTTTACATGAAAAATATTTGGTTTGTAGCAATTTTTTGGTTATTTACATTATAAATTACATATTACTTTACATATAAAAAATTCTGTAAAATGGTATATTCACATAGTTGATTTGAGTAAGTAGAACAGCAAAATAAAAATATTTTAAAAACGGAAAATTTCAACTTTTAATTTTTTGCGAAACCAGAGCATATTCACAAGAAGTGGCGGATACGTGTCCAATATTTTGGAGTGTTGGATCACCAAAAAAATGTTTGATCCAAATCCGTGACACACCACCCTGGTCGTCCCCTTGTTAGATCTTAATAGCACATTAATACCTTTAACAAATAGTTGGGTAAATAGCCTATCTATTAGAAAACACCCTTGTATTTGTGAATAATTTTTGTTGTTGTTTTTTCCAATACAATTTTTGTTTTTTGCAGTAATAAAAAAGAGTCTTATATCTTAATAGTACATAAACACATGTAACAATACATCGGTTGCGTCAATATGTGTGTGTATTTGAAAACACCGTAGATAGATAATTTAAACAAATTATTCCTCTGATAATGGTGACATTACTGGACATCGCTTTTTAAAAAATGGAATGAAAAATTGGTTATGTTATTATTAAACCAAATAAATTAAGACTGCATTTATTAAGCACAGGGTGTTTTGTAAAACGTTACATAACGTCTGTTGTTATTTAAAACGCGACACAGGAAACAAAGGCGTTTTCTTCTACTTATCTACGTGAATTCAATTCACGGAGTGGTAGAAAATCCGAAAGCATAATCAGCCGCCCCTGCGTCAAATGCGTTGGATGCTTCACCCGAAGGATTATCGTGGACAAAGCCGAATGGATAAATAAGTGCGAAGGACGGGAGAGAAATAAAACAGTCCGTAGCGAAGCAACCGCTCGTAACTCGAGCCCATTCTGTCACGACCGATTAGCATTACAGAACCACATGACAGCGTTTCTTAATCGACATCTGCACCGTCTGACCTCAAAGGCTCGAACCATGCTCTGATCCCATACTCGGCCAAGGAGACGGTATAAAACGAAACAGTTCGACACCAATCGATTATATTTGCTGGTTTTATAAAATCAGTTCGTTGACCAAAAGGAATGTTCAAATTGTGGATAGTGACGTTAATTGGTAAATATATTTTTTATTATTATTTTTCATCTGTATAGAATCGGCATAGGTGACTTATTGGGTTTGTCTTCACTTGCGGGTTTGATGAATTGGTCAAACTCATTTTGACATTGCGCCATCTTCAGTGAGGAACAGTCTTTCAGCCGATTTAGCATGAGTTCGCAGACTAGGGTAGTTCCATCATCAACGTAGTTTATTTGACCTCTAATTTCGATACTACAATTTTTTTCGTTCTGTAAACGGATTTATGATACAAAAAAATCAGAGAATTCACGCTAGTTTGTTTACAAAACTTTTCAACGAAAGAAACTGTATGTTTTGACTTTTTTTTTGTATTCGCTGGAATACCTTGTTCTAGCGGGGTTATGTAATTCAAATAAATAGGATTTGCATTATCAAAATTTCTGTTTGCATTTAAAAAAACTACCCTAAACTAGAAATTTACTGTAAATCTGAAACGGGATGACACATGTTGTTCAACGGGAGAGCGGTACAGACCCGCACTGCCGGCCGATACCTGCCCGTCTACGGTCAAAGAGGAGCGTTCTAGCCGAAAAGTTGGCCAACTATCGGCAGACGTCTTCTTGGATTCCCAGGATAAGAGTTGGTATGATGCCTAGGCCACATCCAGGAACGTACCCGAGCAGATGCGATTTAACTTACGGTCGTGAAAAACAAAACATTCTTCATTACACTGATAACAAATCAGTCAACGATAGGATTCAAATGCATACAAGCAAAATAAAATAGTAAAATTCAAAATAATTCTCTACAAAAAAACAAAAAAAAAAAAAAACTGACATAACAACGATAAATGTAAAAATGTTAGTAAAAAAAACCCAGAAGAAGTAAACAAGGAAAAGAGATAAACTAATGATTATTTATAAATTAAAACGACAAAACACAATAAAGTGTCATAAAGCTGGCCGGAAACTGCGTAGGTGCCCGTTATGCTAGGATAAATAACGGTCGAGCACTTTCCATTGGAGAAGGCATGACGTTTATAGGGAATATTTTGATATATCGTCGGACCTGTGCGTAGTCTTGGGGCAGGACGGCGGGCACATGCTGTTCCGTACCTCAGTGCGATGGGGATTTTTAAATGTATATAGTGTTTTTGTTATGTTTATGTTAATCTATTAGAATGAATGTAATTTATTAGCGTGAAAGGAAGGGGTAGTTTAACCCAGCCCCGAGGATTATCGAGTACTGTGATGTGAGTGTGTGACTGGAGAGTAAAAGTAAGTCATTAGCGAGAATAGAGTGGGTTCAACACCGCCCGGAGGATCGACTTAGTTTTCTTATAAAAGCAGAGAGTTAGTCACAGATTGAAAAGGTCAAATGGCTGAAGGTTGAGAAGTACGCGTAAAGATACGCGCCCAGTAGCAGAAAAATAAGCCCTAAACTTTCCACATTATTATTATAAGCGTCATAAATCATCGACGAATCCCAGCTGGCTCAAAAGTGATGTACAATTGTTAGCTAGAGTAAGTCACATAGTACGTAACCGTCACCAACAAAAGTCCATATTGTTTTGAGCTTCTCCAAGATATACACCAATAAAAGGTAAAATATGCTTTTTAAAACAAGTGGAAATGTACAATGCAAGATCTAATCTCGACCCTCCCTCCTTCCAACAAGCCTGACTCACTTGATTGTTACAGAATCTACAAGAAGGACAAACGCATTTACGATGGCGAAACAAACAATAATAACGGGTCGTGTTGAATGTTTGTAATTATTGTTGACTAGGACACGGGTGCAATATGAAGGAAATTAGCCTTCCTTTGATATTTTATAATTATTAAAAAACTTTAAATATATACTGATGGGCAAAATAAACGCACCACCCTTACATTTTAATGCGTTTAGGTTTATTAATATTTTGCCTATCAAAAATAGATTTGTTTGTAAAAATAAGACATTTAAAACGAAAATATTTATTACGTAATTCTAAAAAATTGAGATAAAATAAAATATAGTACAAAACAGAAAATGCAAAAACAAATTAAAATGTAAAAAGCTGTTTAACAAAGAGTATTTCCACCTCTGGCACGAATCACGTCTTTTGGATTCCTTGGAAAAGATTTCTGGAAAAATTCTATGGAATTTTACTCGTCGCGCAAGTTGGTACAAAATGTATTCGATTCTGGTTTCAAATCAAATTCAGGGTTCAAATCTGGACTTCTGGCCACACCAAGCACTCAATTCCAACCTCATTCAGGTAGTCATCCACAATACGCGCTCTGGGCCTGCAATAGCAAGAACCTGTCACCGATGTAGGGAGCAAAGACACTACATGTTCTCCGATTATGTCTTGTACAGAGATCTTCATCCCACAACAATCTATTCGGTGGGGGCGTCAAAGGAATGCCAACCCAGAACACCAGAACCCACCATGGAATGCCACCTGAGGAACCGTACAGCACGGCGCGTACCTTTCTTCTGTACATCTCCATAAGAAATTACGCCCATCTGATGATTTAAGGCCAACTCTGACCTCATCTGTAAAGAGAACTCGTCCGCAATCTTCTATGTCCAATTCACATGTACGCAAGCCGGGTGCCGGGCCCTAAGGTTATTTTCATTGAGCCTTCTTCTTATAGTCCTGGAGGAAATCGAAACAGTTCGGACTTGTCTTATCAGATTTCTTATCTCACTTCCTATACAGCTGCGGTTACGCAGAGCCTGATGACGGATGAATCTATCGTTTCTCTCGTCTGTAGACCTACATCGATCCTGCCCTTGCTTTCAAGTGTGAAACCCCGTATCTCTGAAGCGCCGAAGAACCCTTCCTATAGAGTGATTTACATTCAATCTCCTGGTGACTTCGTGCTGGCTGTAACGTTTCTGTAATAGTGCTAGCAATGTGATGACCCTGGCACTGTGACACACTCAAATTTCTGACAGCAGCAATTGTTTAAGGTTTAAGAATAAGAATAATACCAAGTGAATTCAACGAAGAAAAATGATTAAGTGAAAGCGATCTTTAGGGGTAGAAGAGTGCAAGGGCGTAAACCTACTTTTTGAGCAAATTGGCTTAATTAATACATAAGTAAACAAAGCATTATTTACTGTTTATTTTGACTATGATAGCTCCCGATTACTTGTAACTAATGTAGAAAGATGTATTTAATTTTAAACTAAATAAATTGAATCGTGCTTTAAATTTGTCCATCAGGGTATATACTTAAAAGATTAAAACCAACCGTCGGCCAATGCGTCATTATCGGTAAAACTGAGAGTTCCATTTGATGTGCAAGTCGAAAAGCCCAAAGTCGGCAAAAATGCAAGTTTATAGTAAAATACGGTCAGGGCATAGTGTTCATGGAATTAGTCTGCGGCATCGACATTTTTTTTTTTTTTAATTTTACATCATTCTAATTCCGCTGGTTTTTCCATTTAAATGTAAATCTGTATAGTCAATCTCACAAAAAAAAAGTTATTAAATATGACGATTGAACATTGAATAGATTAAGATTTGCATATTCAAACCAGAAGATGCCCAGACAACTGAGCGAGAGTCAAACTGCAGACCGGC